AAAGGCAGAAGCTCGTGACATTCGCAGTGTAGTTATCTGTAGTAATCTGCTGCAGCATGACAGCTCCCACACATGCTGTCCAATCCAGTATTTATGGTTTTCTCAATGACTCAATGATAAACAGCATAATTATTTTTGAAAATAAAAATTATTATGTCACTAAACATAAATATTTGTAGTTTCTAGACAATATAAATCCTGATAGACAGTAAAAAGCCATTTTTCTATAAGGTTTTAAACTCTATGTGCAAAACAAAACTTCCATTTCTCCAAGCCATTCTTTGGTTCATCAAGCAGCACTAATATCTGCACAAACAATATCACTTTCACCAAACGGGACAATTCAAAGTCCTAACTAAAGCTAAGATATGGCTTTTGTAGTCAAATAGATAAATAAAACAAATGTTTAAAGTGCAAAGTTAGTTACTTTGCTTTGAATTAGAGATGATTTCCTGTAGTGAAACAAAAAGGAAATTCTCAGTGATTGAATAGTCAGTGCTACATCAATAAGGTTTCAACATCAATCAATTATTTTCATTGGTGGGAGGAACAGGCTATCCGTCCGTGTCTTTACCGTCTTGAACTCATCTAACCTTGTGCCTTCGTCTCACTGGGATGTAGGAACAGGTCATGGTCAGTCAAGCTAATGCTTGTGATTCCTCCAAATATGCCACTTTGCATTTCAGAAGCTCCCCACAAGTAGCTCTGCTAAAAGTACACTGATGGAAGCAACGGCAACCTGCACAGAGCTGATGAGCTGGGCAGCAAGTCAGACACATGAACAGCGTAGAACATCTGGTCAGTTTAAAAAGAAATGTTATGGAAATGTAGACTTCATTTCAAAGAAGATCTCAGCAAGGCTGCATTTCTCTATGAGGATGGCCAACTCAATAACAAATGGTAAGCTGACTGGTCTGCAATAGGATGTTACACAAGATTTTCTGCTTAACGCTTGTTTTAGAGAATGAGAATATCAGAATTGTCAGATTTCATAATTTCTTGTCTAATCTAATCAGATCATTGCAGCAGACAACCAGTGACACCTTGTGACAGTGTCACTCTCACATGTGAGGCCTCCTGTTCTTAATCAATACAGAAAAATTAAAAGGGGAATTCGTAGTTCATAGCACCTATTAGCTTTATTCCTTGATAGGAATAAAGATCAGTGTAGGTTAAAGTAATTTAATGTTATAAATACAATTCTTAATGTCTATTTATTAGGTTTATAAATATGTATAAATAAAAGTTTATTAAGGCTAGTAGGCTACCCCCCAGCAATCGGGGCTGTACAACATAACCATATTTATCAAATGATGAAAGAAAAATGTCTATCCTTGTGGTCATTATATAAAATTATAAATTCACTACATTTACAGACATTATTGTAATAATTGGTTAAAGAATTGGTAAAATTTCAGTGAGTAAGGTAATTTTTTTTAGAGTTTTTCCTTATTTTTTAAGTTGATCAAATATTGTAAAAGAGCTGAAATAATTAATGAAATGTAGAGTACATATGTATTCTTAATAAACGTTCAAAAAGTTCTTGATTCTCACTTGTTGATAATTAGAAAATACATATCTTTGCCATCACATAAATCAAACAATGTAAAATCCAACCCATCAGTTCTTGTATAGAGATAGCATCTTTCACTGTTTCTCTAAAAAAAAAAAAATCCAACTCACAGAAGTTTCAAAAATATTCATAATAACTGGTTACCACCAGTTATTGTGAATATTATTATCTTAAGTCCATTTTTCACAATTTATTAAATTCTCAAAGACTCATATAAACTTTGTCTTTTTATCCTGAAGTTTAGAGTCCTGCATTGCTTTCACTGAAAAAACATGAGGTGGGAATCTTTTCCCAGTTGCTGTGGAGAGAATGAAAAATGACAGAGGCCGAAAATGTTTTCAATACATATAAAATGTAGGTATTCCTTTTAGACAGACTTAAAACGATAGGCATTTCCTTTAACGCGTTTCCTGCTCGCTTGAAAGCGATTTATATTCAAAAATACATTTACATTACTCATGTGAGTCACAAAAACCATTAAAATTATTTTGTGTCATGTCATTTCTTTCCAAAAGCACATTTTTCCATTTACATACATAGCATTATCTACAAAGAGAGCCTGAGGGAAGAATGCATTTTTAGGAACTCGTAATTATTCTTCAATTCTGCTTCTTTAATAGAGTAGTACACTCGACCAAACTTCGGGAACACTTTTAAGTTCACCTTGCCATTCATGGCACAGAATCTCAGCGAGCTCGAAGGAGAGATTAAGAGCAGAGTGGAATCATAATAAAGGTGACAGAGGATGCCTCATGGGACGCTTTGCCTCCAGGCGTACAGAAGAAAATCTCACTTTATAATGCAGTTAAATTATTTCACGCTCGCAAAGCATTTTTTAACTGAAGCTTTAGCTATGCATGCGGAGCTCCTGGTTTAGCCCCAATTAGCAAAAGGAAAATTGTAGAAAAGCTATTGTTTGTCCTCTGAAAACAATCAAACTTACTATTTATTCAAAGATGATTAGAAGTCATGCCATAAGAGTGTGGAGGTGGGAAAGAGTTGTTAGTTAATTGGAGGGTCATGAATAGAACTGTTTGTTTCAGTATTAGCAAAAATGTTCAAATGTTTTGGTTGTGGCAACCTAATGACATATGGAAACTTTTTTTTTTCCATGAATTTACACTGATCAAAAACAGAAACTACAAGATGTGGCTCTGCATGAGCTGTACATCCCTTGCACAAATACAAATCTATTATCTGAGCATCTACTTGTGTATTGCATGTATTCAAACAGTGTCTTCTTATTTGGAGAGCTCTAACTAAGGCAAACAAAACGCCATGAATGTTTGTGCTGATAGATAAATGCTACACTCCCCACCATTAATCACACTGGCAGTTTCAAATAAGCTGTAGCGTACTGAAGTATGGGGGAAGGCTGTCTTAATGCTCATTTGAAATTCAAAGTGGTTTTCATAAATTATTCAGTTTATTAAAATCATAAGCAACTCTGTTATAATTCCACAAACAAAATACACATATACCACAACGTGTAGCTGTGTGTGAATGCATTTACCTGTGTCAGTGTGTGCGTGTGTGGGGGTTGCATATGTCTATTACTCACCCCAGCGTCGTCATGGTGACAATAGTGTACCAGAATGAAGCTGGGATGCTGGTGAACTTGCTGGAGCTGGAGCCCTTCTCTGCATAAAACATGACCGTGGCAAAGATGATGATGGCCATGGTGAGTGAGAAGAGGAGGAAGCCCAGCTCCGAAGCGCAGCTCTTGAGTGTATAACCCAGGATCCGCAGGCCTTGCGAGTGGCGGGAGAACTTGAAGATACGAAACACTCGAAACACACGCAGTGTCACGAAGGCGCCGCTGACATCCTCGTTGTTGGTCATCACAAGACCAATATAATATGGCAAGATAGCCACCACGTCGATGATGCTCATCACAGAGCGCATGAAGCGGTAACGACTAGGTGCAGCAAACAAGCGCAACAGATACTCCACGGTGAAAATCATAACACAGGCGGTGTCCATGCAGAAGAACGCGACAGTGTAGCGTTCGCCACATGGCATGTCTTTCTGATTGGCAGTAGCACCACAGGGCACGGTCTCCACCACATTCGTGATGACCGAGACAGCAATGAAGAACCCAGTGACATAGTAAAAGACCAGGGCCATGGTGGAGGTGTGGGGGTTTTCGAAGGCGCGCCACATGGTCTCTCTGAAGTTCATGTTGGGCATCTTCAGGTCCATATTCTCTTCCTGATCATCCTGCAGCCGCTCTAAGTTCTCCCTCTTTCTGTCCTTGTATTCTTCATAGCAGCAGTCACCGATGATCTCAGGTATGATGCCAAAGAAAGTCAGCTCCTCATCATAGGCCGAGATGCACTCGTGACGAGGATAATGGAGCTTTCCCGTTCGGTAAAAGTTGAGAATGCTTCTGAAGGCGTCAGGGTCCCGGTCGAAAAAGTACTCCTTGGTTTCCTCGTTGTAAAAGAAATCTTTCTCAGAACTGCCCAGTAGGGTGTCTGGGTAGCGGTCCAATGTTGTTCTCCAGGTCTGAAAACGACGGCCGCTGACATTGAGGATGATAAGTTCATCTTGTTTCTTGCTGTTGTCTCTTGGCGCTATAGGCATGGGGCAGTTGGCCACAGGCATCCAGCCAATTGCTGCAGCCCTGGCAAAGGGGAGCCACGCTGCTACTCCTGTTGCCATTGTGAAGCAAAGTCTTCCACACCTTCAGACTTAACTGTCCTGAAAATGATCTGGCATCTGAAGAAGAAAACACAAAAAAGGGAACGTGGATAATTAACAGCAAAAATGACCAGTGCTGACCATCAAGGTGCTGTGTACCATTATGCCTATTCTACTATGAGTTTCAAAACATTTTTCCTCTCTGTTAAATCTCCTTTCACTTTCAGCAGTCTCTTGTTTAAATATCTGAAAATGTCATCTATACAAAATGCCACCTGAGCTGCTAAAAATGGAAAAAACAGCTAAAGGTGGATGTAAAAGTTTGTGTGAAATGTAAAATCTGATTTCTATGAAAAAAATAAAATAAGTCGAGTTCGACTTAGACCACAATTAATTGGTGAATCAAATGACTCGCCTTTTGTGTCCAAGCCTATGTCGAAAAGGAACAATTAGATGTACAAATTAACCAGCATCAGCGACATTAAGAAACAACTATAAGGCTTCTGTTCTGAGCAGCTTCATTAACTATCCTACGGTGAAAAACAGTGACAGCCAAACCTGTTGAATCTAAATAAGGAGGAAATCTACTTCAGAGTTCTCCATGCGCTGATAACGTTACGCGGTTTTCCCTGTTAGAATTTTAAAGTACATAAATTACACAATGACCTGATGATGTTTCTTTACTGATTTGTATTACCTGGTCGAGTATAAGCAAACATCGTGTGTCCGTGCACGTTATACTCAAAAAGTGATTTTGTAACGTTCACGCCTTAGAAACACCGCTTTTCGCCTCCAGCGCACGAATCGCACAACTTCTCCAACAAACGCATTTATTCACATGATAAATGCAAATTTCTAAATATATCAGCCCTTCCAAAGATAAGAACTGAATAAAAGGAATAAAAACAGGAATACTCACAGAAAAGGAGATGGAGTGGAGGAGGGAACAAAATCCCAACTCTTCCAAACCGAGTCCTCAGTTGTAAGTGAGAAAGGATGAGCTCGGATCCATCCAGCGAGCTCCGGCAGCGAGCAACACCTCTCTTCTTCACCGATCGGCAGACTCCCGCACCGAGCAGAGCGAAAAAAACGCGACTGAAAGCAGCAGAATTAACCGCAAGACTCTGAAGAAACGGTCTGTGTCTGACGGATTCTACATCCTGCCTTCTTTGATTCCCCGTCACTGTTTGAAAAAGTGAAATGTGATGGAGAGGAGACGCACGCTTCCCTTCCTTCACCACAAAGTACAATGTACGACTCGCTCGCTGTGCCAGCTCCGTGTCATCAGTCCTCCTCCCCTCTGCCTCACTTTGCCATCATCTGTGACAGACTTCAACTCACTTGGCACTTCCAGTATGGTGGTGATGCACTGTAAAGCAGAACGTGACGTTGTGATGCAGGAAACTGGACTTGATCAATCAATCAACTTTAAAATTTCAAGTTATGTAGAGCCTATTTGTTTACTTATTATTATTTTATAATCTCAAAATGAAAAATAAACCCTATTGGCAGACAAGAAACTTCAATTCTTCTTCTATTATTATTAATGGTAAATGGCCTGTATTTATATAGCGCTTTTCCAGTCCCTAAGG